CACCAGGGAGGAAGGGTTAAGAGGGCAGGGGTCTCATTGGAAAGAACAGGAGGGGACTGGACAGACTGCCGCCTCCTTGTGGCCACTACTCTGCTTTTAAAGGTGCAAACAGATTTACAGCAATAGAAAGCCTTAGAATAGTTATCTTCCATAGCCCACACCCATGGGCCGGAGAGAGCTCAGTTAGTAAACAGTAGATTGACAAGCACGAAGACTAAGTTTAATCCCAAACCTACAGCAAAAGGCTGGGCGCGAGAGTACAAGCGTCTAACCCCGGTGCTGGGGCCCGTAGAGACAGCCGAACCCCTGGGAATCACTGACTACCAAGGCCATTTGACAAGCTCCAGGCCCATGAGACACCCTGGCTCAAAAGACAGGTGGACAAGGTTCCAGACAATGACACCTGTTCCCAACAATGACTTCTGGCTTCCATACACATATGTAGATACATGCAAATGCATTCTCACATACATGAAAACTTACAAACACACAAATAAATGTAAAAAGAATCATACAAAATAAATAAAATGGAAGTGGCTGGGGCCTGCACTGTTTCCTCTGGAATTTTGCTCAGAACAGATAAACTGTTTTCATTAGCTTACTCTTACTTCTTTCTTTTTTAATTTTTAAAAAAAGACCTACTTTTTTTTGGGGGGGGCAGGGTTTCTCTGTGTAGCTCTGGCTGTCCTGGGACTCGCTCTGTAGACCAGGCTGGCCTCAAACTCAGATCCATCTGCCTCTGCCTCCTGAGTGCTGAGATTGAAGGAGTGAGCACCACGGTCCAGCAAGACCTATTTTTAATGTTGCGTGTGTGTCTCTCTGTAGGGATTTGTACATGAGTGCAGTTCCTGCAGGGTCCAGAAGAGGGCGTAAGGTATAGGATCCTCTGGAACTAGAGTTACAGGCTGCTGTGAGCCTCCATCTGACTTGGGTGCTGGAGCACCAACTCCTCTAGAGGAGTAGTGCACATCCCTAACCCCTGAACCATCTCCCCAGGCCCTTTTCTTACTTCTTAATCCCCTGCCTCAGCTCTTAAGGTCTTCGTCTAGCCCCCTCCTTCTGAAAGTGCCCATCTTGTGCCAGGGCTCCTTTCTGCCTTGCCACCCTAGGACCAATGCCTGCTTCACAGTTCCAGGCACTAAGCACATGTAAGAGGGTAGGCTGTGCATTTCAAGATTAGCTGCCATGTTTACATTGTCTAATTGGTTTGCTTGGGGCATTTTAAACATGGTACCTGAACGATTTTGCCCTTGAGTGGTTCTCGCAGGTAACTTAGTTGTCTTCCTATGGCTGAACATTGCTTTCCAGTGTTTAGCCCTTAGATATCACATTGCCGTAAGAGTTCATGAATTTTAAATGAAAAACTCATTTTAACCAGACTCTTGAAGATGGGAATTTTATAAAATGATATCTTAACTCAAGTGGGTGAAGCAATCGCCTGCTTGACAGGTCCTTATTCACGGCCTGTTGCCCACCAGCTCTCAATGGCTTTAAAGCAGGAGTCATTCCACGTGTGAGGGACTCCTTCCCTGCTGGCTGCTGGCCTCTGGGGGGCGCCGTGTTTCCAGAGAGACTGGAATCTTTGCATCGGAGGGATTTGTGTTGCACAACATATGTAATAGTTTCACATACTTTTTACAAAGTCAGAAACAATTTAGATTCCTGCCAATAGAGTGTGATTTAAACGTCAAGGGTCAGCTATGCAGCGGGCTGCCGTGCCCCTGCTGGGCTCTCATTGAAGGGGTGCGAGGTTTACTGTTGAATGGTAAGACAACAACATTCAGAAAAGCCTTCACCAGGACTGCGTCCACAGGACCACGGAGGTCACTGAGTGGGGGCAAAAGTAGGGGAAAGGTTTTGTTGTTTTATCTGTGTAATCCTCTTGGGTTTTACACGGTGTTACTCACTGGAAAGTCTGATTTCGTTTTTGGTTCCTTGGAGTACTAAACAGAATAACCATATGACTCAATATTTCCATTCTTCAGTGCGTATCCAAAAAGGACTGAAAATGAGTCAAATGGACTTGATGTGCCAAGACTGACTTTCTTTTTGTTTTGGTGTTTTTTTTTTTTTGTTTTTTTTTTTTTTTTTTTTTTTGAGGTTGGTCTTTACTCTGCACTAGTAGCCTAGAACTCACTATGTAGACCAGTGCAGCCTGGAACGCCCAGGTGTGGGCCTGCCTCTAAGTGCTGGGATTAAAGGCGTGCACCACCATGCTTTGTCTAATAATGCAATACTGATAGCAGCTTTATTCCCAAGGCAAAGACAAACTGCCCACCAGCAAACAAAAGTGTATATGCAACACAGAATACTGTCCAGCCACAAGGGGGAAGGGCCACTGACACGTGCTGTCCTGTGGATGGACCTTGAGGGTACTATGCTAAGAAAAACAAGCTAGACCCAAAGGACACTTATTTGCAAAATCCATACAGGCAATTCATAAAAACAGAAAGTTCCCAGAGATCACCAGGGAGATGAAGATGATAAAAAAAACACTGAACAGGGAAGGTGGTCGTCGCATAAAATTATGAACACAACTAATAATGAAGAATCATATACTTACAGTGGCCAAATGCCCAATTTTCATGTCATATATTTACCATAATAAAAATTCAAGTTAAACGTAATTAAAGAAAAAACATCAAGTTCAGCTTGACTTGTTCTTCACTGAAACATTCTTCTAACCTGACCCCACCCTCAGCAGCCAACAGTAGTCGCTGAGAATGTGGGTCCTATACTGAACGTTCCCTAAAATAGAAAGGTATGTGGACATGCATCCTTGTGTTGGAGCAGGTCAGCCCTCAGCCCAGGCCTTGAGGCCCGGAGCCCAAGGCTCCCGTCTGTGGGAAGGAAGAGGCCAGTGTGACTCGTGACCCGGTTCTGACTGCTGTGTCAGGAAGTTTCACAATGAAGGTGACCTATAAGTGAAGTCCGTCCTGGGCTAGGAGCTGAGGAGCCAAATTTTATTAGCAGGGGTGGGGTGGGGTACGGTGGACTTTGCTGGGGTGATTGTGAAAGATCTCACTACAGTATGATTTTAGCTAGAAAAGCAGTGGAGTCTTTAGACTATTTATAGCGCCTTCCTTGGTCCTTAAATGTCTATTTGCGTGTGTGTCTGGGTTTTTAAATGCTGCTGTGGGAAAATGGCTCGGGGCTTCCTGCTCTTTTCCCGGTTCCTGTTTACCATTTAAAGACCTTGCCTTCTCTCCTAATCAAGCTGATAACTAGGTCTGTTCACAAGGTCTCTGTATTCTTCCCAACCCAAACTATGTTTGCCATCTAGCGAGGAATCCTTGCCATTACAGCAGCCTCCTTCCAATGCCTCATTTCTCAGCCAGGCCAAGGCAGCCCAGTCAAGCCGACTCCAGTCACTTGGCATACACTGCTGTGAATACACGGACATTCAGACCCCGTGGTCAGATCTGAGCCATCAGAATAGTGGAAGTTCTCACGGAAAGGACACTTCTGCCGCTCCTAAGAAGATAAACTCCGACAATTCAGTGTTATAAAAGGTTTAAGCAGGACGACTCATGAGAATTAACCCGCAGCGAAAATGTTCTCAAGCCAACTGCGCACTGTGACGTTTCCACATTCATTCCCAAGCTTTCTCTTCTTCCTGTGTGTTCTACAAACAATGCCAGGGGCTATGACAGTCTGCGATTCTCACAGTAAATGCTGCCTTGTGGGCTATCCAACCTGGGACCAAGGACAGCTGCCGCAAAAAGTGAAACTTACACAAAGCATTATGAGAGGGGCTGCCCCTGACTCTATACTGAACCATTCTTCATCATGACCTTTGTCCACTGCAGTGTCCTACTTCAGAGTCAAAGGTCATAAATGCCTATCAGCATAACAGTCTGGGTTTCTGAGCACACCCCGAAAGAGAGCTTCATTTTCTGCATGTTGTATCTATCATTATCCTTTGGAAGGTGGCCTGGAGATACTATGCTATATATGCCGGGGATTTAAAAACCAAAACTGACTGGGGCTGTGGCTCAGCAGGTAAAGAAGCTTGCCAACAAGCCTGGTGACCTTAGTTCAGTCCTGGAACCCATGCAAGGATGTAAGGAGAGAACCAACTGCATAAAGTTGTCCTCTGATCTCCATACATTGGCTGTAGTGTATGTGTGGCCACGGCCCATGCACACCATAAAAACAATTACATTTTTAAAGATAAAATAAGGGCCACGGGGGTGACCCAGCCAGTAAAGGTGCTTGCTGCCTAGACTGATATTCTGAGTTCGAGCCCTGGGACTCAGAAGTTGTTCACACATGAGCGCGCGTGCGCGCGCGCGCGCGCACACACACACACACACACACACAGACACGTAAAAGTTTAAAAAATTAAAATAAAAGTTAATACTAGTCACTTAGAATTCTTGAAGAATCCCTGGTAATATCCTGTGGCTGGGACCTTAGGATTCCTAGACAATGATAAGGGCTCTGTTTGGGGAAATATTTTGAATCCTGTGTGCTTGCTCCTAAGACAGGGACCCTGGGAACCCCACAGTTGTAAATGGAATGCCTACAACTTGCCAAGCTATGGACTGAATCCCTATGGCTGTAATTTGTTTTATATATGTCTCTCTATCTATATCTACACATATGGAAACATATACTTAAATAAAATAGAAACTGACTTAAAATTTCACACACACATATTGTTGATAGCATTTTTTCCCTCAACTTGTTGAAAGCCACTTACCACACCCTCTTCCGCAAGAACCGGCAAGATTTAGTTTAAACTGTCTTCTGTCCTGCCAAGGACTATGAGTATAGAAGAGAAAGCAGACACAATTCCCACTTTACTGCCAAACTGGGTTTATCGCTCAGCTGGACACTCCACAGTGATAGCTGGGATCCAGGGGCCATGAAGGCTGAGCACAGGAGGTGGTGTGGAATGATTCACATTGTCTAGAAAGCCCTGGGACCTGCTTGACCGATGGTGTAAACGATCCTTGTTTTTCTTTCTGTGCATTTCTGTGCACGTGGTTTTGCAGGGAAGGCCAGAGATACCGGGTGTACATCGTGATACCGCTGCTGCCGGGATTCGAAGGGGACATATCCACAGGCGGAGGGAACGCGCTACAGGCGATAATGCACTTCAACTACAGGTGCCCGGACCCCAACCCTCTGCTCTGATCTCTGCATCATGCATGGGAGCCTGGAAGGGAGCTGCAGGATTTCTGCACAGTTGATCAGTGTTTTACTTTCAAACCTTAGTCTTTACGAGGCGATAAAATTCAAATGTTACAGGCAAACATGATGAAGTGCGCCCTCTCTCCTGGTTCTCACTGTGTAGTCCTGGCCGCCAGGAAGTTGCTATGGAAATAAAAGACTGGCCTTGAACTTCAGAGATCCCTCACCTCTTCCCCCTGAATGCCCAGCTGGTGCCTTCTTCTTTTTTTTTTTTTTTTCTTTCTTTATTTATTTATTAAATATTTCAGTCTCTTCCCCACCTCCGCCTCCCCTTTCCCTCCCCCTCCCCCAATACGTTCCCCCTCCCTCTTCAGCCCAAAGAGCAATCAGGGCTCTCCGTCCCGTGGGAAGTCCGAGGAAAACCCTCCTCCATCCAGGTCTCGTAAGGTGAGCATCCAAACTGCCTAGGCTCCCACAAAGCC